TTATTATCTTATTAAACAGAGTAACAGAAAGGTTCATAAGAATTCATAACTCTCTTATCCACCACAGGAAAAACAGCGTAGAAATTCCACATCTCAAATATTTTCCAAAACCTTACAATAGGTTGATTCTGATAGAGATTCTGTAAAGCTGCTCAATACGCTCTCTTATTATCTAATGACAAAATAATTACAAGATGCACCTTTTTTTTTCAAATGTTAAATTGACTTTCTTTGAACTTTAAAGCTATTGTTTAAGTGGTTTTCTAAATAATTTTAATGTGTATCGGCAACACTGATAGCAATATTTTACACCATTCCATTTTTCAATCAGACGTCTGTAGTGTCTGAAATTCCACTAAATGTTTGATTTATCACATAAGGCACTTCGCGATTAGTGGCGTCATGACTTAGTTTTAGTGAAATTGCAAGAAACAATGACGCCTGATTGAAAATTGGAATGGTGCAAATTGATCTTTCAGTGTCCCCAATACATATAAATTCTTTCAGAAAATCTCTTTCACGTTTTAGAAACCCAAAAAACATATATTCAAGGTTAGACAAGTGCTGGTAACCTGTGGATATTAGTTCAAGATTCTGTTCATTTACTTTCAAACAACCTGTAAATATGGTTAGAAGGTTCAAAGGAATGGCTTAATAATAGAATATTAGAACTAGCTGGAAGGCCTTACAATGATTATACAGAATCACGAAACTTTGAAGAACAATTTATTAATAGAATATTAAAATCAGGTGCTAAATTTAGTTAATTTGTGTAAAAGAAACTGTTTTTTGCTGACAAGACTCATGATGAACTGGGATCGACAGGTTCGTGTTGAAATTCCATGAAAACTGTGTCTGAAGGTTAACCGATTCCATGAATCATTGGATTTAGTGTCCAAAAAATGGAATAAAATTGTAAAACAGCAGTAAGCATTAAAGGCGCCTCCCTCAGAAACACCATCGAAAGACTCTGAATCTCAGACAAGAATTTGAAAAGAAACACAAACATTAAAACTTTCTCTTGCGGTATTTTAATTGGAAAATGATTGATGTTATAGAGTGGCATTTAATTTGGTGTTTCTAGCAAATTTTGTACCTTTTCTCATCGATGATTATGCAAGTCAATTTTTTTGCATTGCGCAAACAGTCCTCCTTATGTTAGATTCCGCGATGCCTTTGAAAAACGACTATTTAGCATTTGCATTCTTTTTAAAGTCATATTTTGGGTTGTGAAGCTATAGATGGGTAATCAAAAAAATAATTTTGAAGACTCTTCGGAATAATCCGCAAGTTGTTCAGGAGCATTAATGCTCTTTAAAGCCAAACTACTTATCTATAAATATTCAGTCACATTTACATTTTAAGTACTCTTCCAAACATTTGATCATCTTTTGTTTGATCAGGATACGGCTACTTAAGTAATAGATTGAACCAATTATTTTCGATTGGCATAATTTTATTTATATCGACTAGTATTTTATAACAATCTATGCATTAAAGAACGAATGATCATCTTATTCCTTTTTTGTATTCCATTGAGTGTCATTGGTTGTTGGTTAACCATCCATAATATTGCGAAATATTTTTGCATGTTCTGCAGTTTTTTATGATGTAAAATTGTAAAGGCTATTCACAATGTCGTTAGCACTTATAAAGATGTAAAGGAATTTTCAAGTATTTCTTTGTTTAAATGTCATGTGCAGCATTTTATCAGATAGTTCCGATTCCCATAGCACTTCTGGGAGAAATTTCACGTAAACAGAGAAATGAAAGTGACGTTTGTATTGCAAATTTTTTTTCTGGATCAGAATTATGGATAATGGTATTACTTGATTCTTATTGTGTATCTGGCGCGGCCGAGTATGTGAAATTAAAAGACTTTAATAAGGTGTGCTCATATGGGGAATCATGTAGCATGAAACGCTCGTAAACACTCTAAAAGGCGCAATTCATGATGGATTTTGATGAAACTTGGTGTGAGTGTTTGTTATCACCCAAGGATGAACCCTATTTAAAACCAGACAGATCGAAAAGTAATTAGTACGAGTTATTGCCCTTGTTCTTGAAAACGCGTTCAATTTTTAGCACGTAAACACTACAGAAGGCACAATTATGGACGGATTTAGATGAAACTTGGTATGAGTGTAAGTAATCACCCATAGATGAACCTTATTGAAAATCAGAAGAATAAAAAATAATTAGTATTCGTTATTGCCCCTGTTCTTGAAAATACGTTCAATTTTCAGCACGTAAACACTCTAGAAAGCACAATTCTTGACGGATTTTGACAAAACTTAAATGCTCGTAAATCTAAAAGGCTCAATTATTGACGAAACTTGGTTTGAGTGTTTGATTTTACCCAAGGATGACACTATTGCAAATCAGAAAAATCGAAAAAATAATTAGTATGAGTTATTGCCCTTTTTCTTGAAAATGCGTTCAATTTTTAGCACGTAATCCCTCTTGAAGGCACAATTCTTGACAGATTGTGACGAAACTTGGAAATATCATTCAGTATGGTCTCAAAAAGTTCAAAAGAAGTGTATGTCTGAAGGTTGAATATTTCATACTGGTAATTGTTACTGTACTGCCAAATATTTTGATATAAAATCAAAGCTGCCAGTGGGCGTATATTACCTTGTCTGGCAAGCTATCTTTAACACAAGGTAGAAAACGAGTAACTTACGGCAACTAGCAGCTACGATGTTTCAGGTGCGCTTGGGTGGACCAAGGGTGCCACTAGATGCTATTAGTCGTTGAAAATTCGGTTGTTTTCAGATTCAGCCAGTCACATGATCGACCTGAATCGCCTTAAAAGTAAAGGGTAATACAGATGCAACTTTAGTTCCTACTGCTTTTAAAAATATGATTGTAATACATTACATGTAAAGCTTATTTAAAGAAAAACTGGAAACTCACGTGTCTGGATAATGATGTATAAGAATGTAGTATATTATTGAACTAATGTAGTGATTATATTGTATTCATAATGAGAGTAATGAAGATCAATCGAATGAAGAGGGTTAACAACCGAATTAGCTCTAAGAGACTCTGTTATTACCATCATTATACTGCAGCTGAAGGTCGAGAGTAAGCTTGTATCAATATTTTTGGATATATTCTCACCTGAAGAGAGTTCAATCTCTCATTGGAATCTCTAGGAAGTAGCGTATTTTGTTACTGAACGTGAGCAATATAGAGAAAAATGGTCATTGACCGGCACTTTTGACTAAATCCTTTCCAGTATAAGTTATTCTAGCTACCTTGTTAGTGATACTTAACCGTATGGATTTCCAGATAACACTTTGCGATTCGGTTTGTCAACTCTGCATTCCTATAAAAGGTGTTATTTACCTAAAACCGTACACTGTCCACTTTTCCTCTCTTTATGACCTTTTGCATTAAAAATAAACTTTTAATTTATCGAGGAAAACTTTCTGAAGTTCTCGATGTAGGCCTTTGCTTTTTTTTATGAGGAAACGCCTATGAGAAGTTACAACCAAGCAGAATCTGATGGTTTATAAATAAATAGCATCCGTCATCCGTTCTAACTTCGAAGGTAATACTTGTGGAAATATATTATGTTTTACTTTAAGGATTGGGCAACAATCCTGTCTAAATGGAGAAAATTCTTGGAATTTTCCACGAATCGAAGACTTAAGACCATATTAATGGTATTGGCCAGAGTAAGATGGTAATCAATAGGTATAACACTAAATTTAGAAATATTTTAGTAGAAATCAATTAGTTAAGCTGTCTGTTCCTGAACTTTGATAGCATTATATTGAAAATCATTATAATTCCTGCTATTCAACTTTCATGTCACGCACGTGGAAGTCTTCAACAATATACGAATAAGGTTTCGTAAGTTGTAAACCCCCTCAGTCATGCTATATAGGATCAGGAATTGTTGCGTGATAGTTAATCTCTTACATGTAGTCATGGAAGGTGAAAGGTTTATCACCTTGAACAATCGGTGTACTGATAGCAAATTTAGAAAAATATATTGTACAAGGTATAATATTATATTATAATATAATGAAATACTTACTCACTTACGATTGATATATTATAATATAGTGAAATACTTACTTACGATTGATGTAATATTATAATATAATGAAATACTTACTCACTTACGATTGATATAATATTATATTATATCATAATATATTGAAATACTTACTCACTTACGACTGATATAATATTATATCATAATATCATGAAATACTCACTTACGATTGATTCATTAGCTTTTACCAATGTTTTGCCAATATGTTGTTATGGATTTTGAGTTTCGTTTTGCGATTCGGACCGTTAGTGCTTGGTTTATTTATTATATGAATTGATAAATAATTTTTGAAATTCATATCTAATAGATTCCATTTTTATGGGAAAGTTATATTTAAAGGGCGACGGCCATGGGATGGTTCGTCCAGTTAGACCCTACAGACATTTCTGAGTTGGTCCAGGGTTCGATCTGAGTGCACAATTGCTAAATTTTTAAGAAATGTTTCTAGATCCTACAATACCAATCAAGGGGAGGGTAGCAATTATTATCTCTCAGAAGTCAGACTACACCTGAATCAGGATCAAATTGAAAGTCAACTTGAATATTCGACAGTCTCCCTAGAGTAGGGGTACAAATAGGTTGCAGACTGACGTATGGGGGGAGGGGATCGGGGGGAGGGGATCGAGACAACTGTTGAGGCTTAAACTCAAAATGCTGCAACTAAGTAGAGACATCCTAGTCTCAAGCTTCTAATCGAGTGTCTGCAAGAGTTCTTCCAAAGAAAATTTTGAATTTGAATTGTTTTGATGCATTCTAACACATATTTTGGGGCAAAACGAATTGTAACCATTGACATATTAAGTCAAGCAAGCAACATAGATGTCCATGGTTTTTATGGGTTAATTGAGATGTTGATTCTGTTCACTCTATTCTGTTTTCTTCCAGAGATATCAATAAAAGTCTTCCCATAGATAAAGTAAAAAACTATTAAGAAATCATATTTTAATATACAATATAACCAACCAATTGTAATAAATAACCACTATGTTATTTCCATTTTAATGTATGACTGATGGAATTGCTAGAAATTATGTTATAACAGTAAGCTAGACTGAATCAGCTAGGGTGATTTTTATTCGTTTTTTTTTATTTTAACCTGAATAAGATGCAATTACTGCCCAAATGTGAAATAGAACAGTGGTTGTATTTGGATCAATTTCAACTAAAAGCAATTCATATTACAGCACTCTTTGGAATTACTTATCCGTCACAATAAATGTTCACTGGTACAAGTAAATCACTTTGAATTATTACTCTAGAAAAACAGTCCTCTCATCCTTCTCATACCTTGTTTATCGTATAATAAATTAAATTTGGTGATGAACTGAAATATATTTAAGACGTATAAATAAAACATGTAAGAATCAAAACTAAAAGCCATAAAGCTGTTTCTGCAACACATTTACTATAAACTAGTGTCTGCAAAGTGCTCATACATCACTTCATCCAAAGGTATCTTGAAGAATCCAAAGAACAGACTATGTAAAATCTTACCTGGTTCATGGTATTACAACCCTTGGTCATGGCTCCAAGGTATGCCATTAAACCTACATCATTACATTGCTAAAACAGAAATTTTTACGGGTTAAAAATGTTAAAAGTTCAATAATTGACCTAAGACAAAATTTACATTTCTGACATAAAAGAGTTTTTTGTCAAATTCTAGAATGTAATAAAAAGGATTATAATTAAAAAAGATACTAGCTAATATCCTGCCAATGGCATCATCAATTTATAGCAAAAAATAAGGACAACTTACATTATAAAAATCTTCTTTAAATTTAGAAGTATTAATAACTGGTAGCCTAAATGATAAACTATAAGCTTCTCTTAGTACATCATGATTCTTGGGTAATTTACCTTAAAAATAAATATACTTTAAGCTTAAAGAAAAACTGTCATTAAAGGACAAAGCTAAGCTACAAAGCAATCATTTCTGTAAGTCAGAAGGATATTGACAATAATAAAGCTTTTGTCTTTTCATGAGGGTTACTCTATTCATCATCCTAAATGTGACAGTCCGAATCCACATTGTTCGCAAATTTTTAAAATCATAAACCTACCTGCTTCTACTGCTTTTATATATTCTAATATTAATTTAACTCTTGAATGTAACATTTTAATAGAACTGTGTTGAGCCATTAGATGTTGTGCTACTGCAAAATAAAGATTTGTAATTTTACAACAATATAAACGTAAGTGAATATATGAGTTTCTCATTGCACACTGAATGGCATCTGTAAAACCCTATTCATTTCACTTCTGATAGCTAATGCGTCTTCATTAGCCCACATGGTGCAGAAAAGTAAGACGTAAAACTCAATTCATTTCATTTCATTTCTGATAGCCAATGAAGTCTGGTAAAACTGACCTGAAGAACTATCACTAGTATCACTGGTAGACATTCTAGCTACATGATCTACTCCAATTCTCTCTGCTTCCTCTGTAGCTAATGTATAGGTTAACTCAACAAAAAGTATAGTAGCTTCACCATTTACTAGATCTATTACTGATTCATAGATAGTGATTGGTAACTACAATATAAAACAAAGGCAAAAATCAATACTATACTATACGCCAATACAAAGGACTTTTTTCTTGCAAAAAAAAACTTAAGTTGGTGGATTCAATGAGATTACTTTTGGACTAACTATAGACAAATCTAAACATAGATGATTAATTAGTGACTACTTGCTCCAGATAGAGACTATGCCTAAACTAACATACACATCAATTGATTCATTGATTGATTGTGTTTTTAAATTTTGGTAAGAATCGTTTAAAATACTCACAGAATCAGAATGTCTTGATAATGGATTCATCTTGAAAAATAATGGACTTTCATTTATTTGACAAACCTAGAATAAAATAAAGACATTCAAGACTGGTATACAATATTGACTTTCATATAGTTGACTTTATTGATATAAAAAATATGGACTAAACCTTATGCCCACTTTTGCACAGGAAATTGAGTTTCTACAATTATTATGGATATATATCAATATCTAGTTCTATAGCCAAAAAAAAATCATCAAAATGAAAAAAGAAAAAGACTTCGGAGCAAGGTCACTAGCTCTGTATCCATTGGCTATGATCATTTGGTTATATCAAACAGTACAATAATTATAGAGGCCTACTTGTTTATGTACTTTAATATCAGCTTCATTAACTGCATCACCAGTTGTATACCATCCCAGAAAATCCATTTCACTAAATACTTGTTTAACTATGAGGAAATAAAAGGTTAAACTCACTAGATAAACTTTTTTAACCATATATGACAATATCAATCCTTCAGACTACATAAATGATAAATAAATAGATTCTATAAGCTTATACTAATGTAATGTAGAGCATTACAGATATCTGTGCACATTTAATTTAAGATCAACACAAGTCCCACTATATTTATTAATCATACTTGTTTATTTGTGTGTTTGCTTGGGTACTTGTTTAGTTTATAGCATGCTGCAAGAATCTCACTGTCAGTTCCAGACTATGCCTATATTCAATGTCAATCTTAGTATCGTACCTACACAGGGTACAATCCATTCATTGAGGTGCTTCTAACCCAAAGAATACTTACACTGTTCTTCTTTAGTATTGTAATAATCCATATTGATCATAACTGCACCATCTACATGATCTATAACTAACTCAAATGAATTCATTACTTCTATGTTTCTTCCTTTCTGTTTTCCGATTAATGCACCAAAAACTAAAAATAACAAAGTGAGATAACAATAAAACTAATTCATAGGTGGTTGAGTTGAGTCTCACTATATTATCGCTATGACAGTGAAAAGTTATCATATTGGTTTTCTGATAAATGAAAATCACCGCATAGTGATCTTTTCTCATTGAGAAAAAGTAATTTTTTACAAACAAACCTTGAGTTGGTTTCCCTTCTTGAGCTTTTACTCTCGTCCAGTGTTCTGATATATTCATAATAACAAGTGGATGGAGAGCGACAGAAACACTTCCTGAAGTTCCAGCCGATGCCATGACACTGTTAGAAGTCGAAGGGTTGTCAACTTCCATCTTTGTAGCCATTTTTGCAATCTTAAAAGCTTATAAATAAATTTGTTCCGTTTTCAGAATTTTATTTACATCCGCCATCTTTGAAAAGGGGAATAACTCTTATTTATGGAGACCACAAATACATTGTAAATGATTTACATACATCACAAGAGAGAGAGTTAGACCTAGCTAGGCAAATAGACTGGGTCTTGGAAATTGGTTAACTTTAATCAGTTTCTTTGTCACACATCATCAAGAGACATTGATCGCTAATGACACACAGGGAGTACCGGGCTGAACTTAGTAAACACATTGAACTAGCATACAGATTCGAATCGTCAATATATGTCGATTAGTGTGTCTTCAATGGGCCTCCATACAAAAAGTAAGGGAGACAGCAACTTGGTGATTTGATATTTCGAATAATAGCAAGTGTGAGATAGTATGGTATGAATTTCAAAAAGTTCCTATGACGGCTAAGCTTTTTAATTTGCTATTGAACTTTGGTAAGTTTCAGCTTCCATAAAAAAAAAATTATGTCTTAAATGGGCCACATTACAAAGACTAAGAGAATTAGACATATACGTGTTTGCGAAATTGGAAGAATTCTTATGTGTATTTGTCATAAAAAATTTAAGTTATTTTAACAATATTTAAGTTAGAAATAATTCAGATTTCATATCGGGTCGATGTGCCGCGAATGTATATGCTGATACGATTCTACCCGAATCTGTATGCTAGTTGAATGTGCAAACTAAGTTCAGCCCGGTAGGGAATTTTCAGTCCGAACACCTGAATTTTCTGGAAGGGAAGGGTGTCTATTTCATATTTAAAATCACTGAAACTTGGAAAAGATAAGATAAAATAAATTTATTCAGTATTAAGGCCAACTGACCTATAGATACATCAATATAGTGTATAATTATAATAATATATAAATAAATAAACAAATATTAATTTTAAACTATCAGTACCGGTACAATAAATGATATACATGTATATCACCGAACCTCATATTTCTATGAGAAAGTTTAGTTTACTTCTGATTAAATTCAAGGCTTTTTCAATATTTAGGCCTCTTACGTCAGTTTTGAGGAGTTGTCGCCCTTTAACCTCTATACAGTAGGCCCAAGTGCTTCTATCAAAATCAATTGCTCGTAAACGCTCTAAAAACTAGATTTTTTGATGGAATCAAATGAAATTTGGTATGTGTATACATATTCATAAAACGAAGATCAAGTTCGAATTTGAGTTAGAAGCAGAGTTATTGCTCTTGCCCCAAAATCTTGAATATGCTATTACTCTCCTAGTTTTCAACCAATATTGATGAAACTTAAAATGGATGTTTCGTTTTTATCATCCGTATGCCGTTAAGGGCGTATATGGCTGTGGTCCACTAACTTTTTTGTTTGTGGTTGTCTTGTAAATCTATCAGGTGTTTTGGTACCGCTTCACACACAGTAATTGATTATTAATTCACTCTTCAGTATAAGACAGCAACAATGTTTGAGGTTACCAAAATTATTTTTTAACATATCATATTGACATCAATATTGCAACTAAATGACACAAAATAAGTACAATTTAAAACAATATCAATTAAATTTAAACCAAGAAGAATCAACATGATGAAATTAGAATAAGATATTAATATACCTGTTGAAATGAATAATACAATATATTAAATTTTATATGTATATAATATAACTACAAACCTATTTCATTTTCAAATTTCATCAACAGTGCATAAAGTAAAAATAAAAAGTATATACACATGGATTTGACTTTTCTATTTTTGACTTGCATGTATTTATCGTCTCTAAAATCAACTGTATATAATATAAAGTTAGAGATATTAAAACACAACCCTACCTGACCAACCCTATATAATGTTTTTTAACTATGAGTCAATTAATACATATTAATTTAAAAGAAAACCACTTATTACTATTACAAAATAGTTGCACAGTGTGTAATTTTCAAGAATATTCAAGAAGAATAAGCTATATATAGTTAATTATTTTTGAAAGTGATAATTATGAATATACTATCATTAAACATGATATAATACAAATGTAGATAAAACATGTAAATAGTGGCAGTTATTCCTTTTTCTAACAAATCATTTTGCAGCTCTCACAATACCATTTCCTGTATTTTGATCTTACAACATTTTCATTCCCCTTAATTCCAACACAAGGGTAATGATACCAAATTTCATATTTTGAACAACAAATACTTTCTTCAATTAAACTCTAAGGTTCATCTTTATATTCATAGTTGCAGATAGGACACTATAGGATACTATAGAATTATTCTTGTCTGAAACCTGTTCATTTTCATTTACTTTTCTGTAACACTCATGTGCTACTGATGCAATGATGCGTCCCATTCGGTTTTTAAACCATATTTTTGATTTAGCCTGTGTACAGGTTTGACGCACAACATAGTCAATACTTTGTTCTGTTGTTGAATCTAAGTTTTAACATGAGTTCTTTGACAAAATCACTTGCATTAATGTTTTCCTTTGATTCTAAAATTTTGTTATCAAGAACAGGTATGGTTTTAACGACAGTTTCAACTTCCACTTCCATGTAAATATTTTCAATATCAGGATTAACCGCATTTTGCTCAACACTGCTTCTTAGAGAATATGAAAGTACACCACAATTTCCATTTGTTATCTCTCTTAGCCTATTCAAGTCAAAATCTGATAGTGCTTTTTCCTTGCGGTAGCAGAATGCTCCGGGTTCAAATGTCAATCAAGACTTTTTTTCACGAGTTTGAAAATTTTCTTGAATTAGTATCAAATCTACCTGTAAACTTTTTCACAATAAGATTTCTTACAAAGTCAGGTTGTGTAACCCTTTTCCCTTGAACAGGTGGTTTGTTTGGGATGTACATGCTTTGTTGCATCCAGACTCTATTTGCCTATCAATAAAGTGCAACAAGGCAACAGAATGTTTGCAATACCCTCGTAGACCTGCTGGACAACAGCAGTAAGCTCTTTCCACTTTTCCCGTTCTCTTCTGAAGGACTGTCCATACACTATATGGTGCTTGTGTCTGTGCCTTTTTTTCGGAGCAACAATAGCCTTTACATAGCAGTAAGATATATTTGGACTGATTCGATGGTATTCAACTCCAGTAACATTTCCAGATAAGTATAAACTTTCTCCTTCTTATGGATCTCAGCACCTGTAAAATTAATTCAGTTTATACATATACATGTATAATACATCTTAGATTTGTTTATTGAGGAAACAAATCATGAACTTGCATGAGAGCAAACTAGACACACCTGCTTTGTTCTTTATTTATGTTTGCACACAAGACAAGCCAAGAGGCAGGACCTATTTATACGAGGTGAATCAATCTACCGAAGTGATTGATTGCTTAATACCCCAGTCCCCAATCATGTTTATCAGGTAAGCAAAACACTGTCAATTACTGTAGGCATCTTGTAACTCACATGAGTGCTCTTTGGAGCTACACACGTTTTGTTAATTGCCAGTTCATACATTTTGTTTTAACTTAAACATAAATAATTGTGAAGTCTATTCTACTTGACTAGAATGATTGGAATAATGATACAAACATAATAATCAAATAATAATACTGGATATAAGTCAGAAGGAACAGTAGTGGAACGGTGGGTTTTGTATGTATTTTGTATTACGGTTCTAATCATTTATACTTGGTATTTATTTCATTCCAGATTTTACCATAAAACTATACTTTCGATTTCCAAATTATAAATAAAAAGAAAATCGATGCGGGGCAACAGATTAAAATATATCGCTTCATGTGAAACAAATGGTGATTCCGGATTTTATCAAAAACCTTTAGTTTCCTTTTACAAGTCGTTTTTGTGCAGTTGGGCCCAATGCCAAGTTCAATGCGGCAAAACGAACCCACTGGTAGTCGAACAATTTTACCTTAAAATAATAATAAAATCTATCTGTTTAAGGTTGTGAAATTATGCTCAGTCTCCAGAGTCTGATATCAGTAGGCCTACTATAGTAATAAATACTTACACAGTTTTATATAATCTTCTACATCTGAGACTGATGTATTTGGAAAATTTATGTAGTTTTTCTCCCCCATAGCTAATATTTTTACAGGATCGGGAAGCTTAATCAAACCATCTTCCAAAATAAATTTACTCTTTCTTTCTTCTATCACTTTCAGGAGATCATCTTCAACAGGAGTTTTAAGTGGAATATTTCTGCTCTAGGCAATAGATGCTAGCACATGTCTATCTTCCTCATTTCTACTGCTGTATGGGATTCCCCAGTCTTTAAGAAATACGCCCAATTCATTTCGCTTCAACTCAGCTACGTCTTTCTTATCGCTCATTATTTTACTCCATGTAAGTTTACATCATGGCGGAACACTATGGAAGCTTACTATCCCACAATGCAATGCAATTTCATGCGCGAACAACCATACGGCTCTATCCGTGAAGTGGTCTATAGGAGGTCAAAATATCCTACAGCAAGTTAAGGCAGCTTAAGTTTAACCAGTCGCATTCAGACGACTAAAAGACCAGTCTTGAAAAACGGTTGATAGTTAAAATGCCTTAACTTTAGTCGTCTGAACAAGTGGCGAAACTAGGTTTATGTCTGAATCTCTAACCTATTTATGAGATTTTTGCCTGAAAAATTTGCTATTGGGGCTGCGAGGGGGGCGGCTGAACCCCCTGCCTCCACGCCCCCCTTTGGCTCCGCCACTGATCTGAACAAAAGACTAAATCATTTAAATCAAACCCCCTTCAAATAGCGGTATAATTATGGGTGTTTACGTGGTCATCTTAATTTCATTTATAAACGAATTTGAAAGTTTAAATTAAATCAATAATCTTACCGCATCGGCTTTACCCATATTTCTACAAGCAATAATAACATGACCTCCCATACGAGCTATTTCTCTGGCAGCAATGTATCCAATACCTGCAAAACAAATACATGTATACAAGTATGAAGTACAACACAACGATCTTATCAATTGAATTGTCCAAAACCGATCATAACTGTCACATTTACAAAGATAGCTTGCCAGGCAAGGTAAAATAGGCCCACTACCAGCTGTCAGAAATGGTAA